TCAGTTAATTTAGCCTCCCCACACTTTAAGGTGGTACCTAATTTTCCTACTTGACAGATGCAACTGTCTTTTAGGTTGCAAAGGTCGACAACAGGCTACACAATTGGTTGGATACCCACTCCAACCCGGGCTGGCTTTGAACTCATGACCTTTTGGTCAGAGTGATCTTAATGCAGCTGACACTCAGCCAGCTGCGCCACAATCCTAATTCTAACTCTAAACCTGCGCTGTTCTTGTCCCAGGACCCTAACCAAGCCTGTCTACTATTTTCTCGAATTAGTTTGTATTAATAGAAAATAGAACTTTGCTTGGCATGTATTAATGAAACGATTTGCTGAAGTCAGAGGTGTCTTAGACTGAACGCAACATGATCTTGGCCAAATAACTATTTCTATCCTAATAAACATAACTACATATATTGATTTAAAAATTATAATTCAATTCTCTCCGTTCGTAAGCACTAATAGCATGATTTGATTCTCTCCTCTCCAATGCATTGAAAGGATTTCAGAAAATCCCCTTCATGACTTAGGGAAGTCAAACTGGTGACCCATGTTCTTTGTTATTGCTTTTTTAATCACGATATTAGGAAAACCTTTATTGAATCTGCCTTAATTAAATAGATGAAGGGCTAGAAGGCATGATCATCAAGTTTGCAGACGACACCAAATTGGGAGGGATAGCCAATAGTCCAGAGGACAGGAGCAGGATTCAAAACGATCTTGACAGATTAGAGAGATGGGCCAAAACTAACAAAATGAAGTTCAACAGTGACAAATGCAAGATACTCCACTTTGGCAGAAAAAATGAAATGCAAAGATACAGAATGGGTGACGCCTGGCTCGAGAGCAGTACGTGTGAAAAAGATCTTGGAGTCCTCGTGGACAACAAGTTAAACATGAGCCAACAATGTGATGTGGCGGCAAAAAAAGCCAATGGGATTTTGGCCTGCATCAATAGGAGCATAGTGTCTAGATCTAAGGAAGTCAGGGGCGGCTCATCCATTACGCGAAGTAAACGGTCGCAGAACACTTTTTTTTTGCCAGGGGCACAGAGGCGCCTCTGTAAATGCATTGACAAGCTGGAATGTGTCCAGAGGAGGGCGACTAAAATGATCAAGGTCTGGAGAACAAGCCCTATGAGGAGCAGCTTAAGGAGCTGGGCATGTTTAGCCTGAAGACGAGAAGGCTGAGAGGAGATATGATAGCCATGTATAAATATGTGAGAGGAAGCCACAGGGAGGAGGGAGCAAGCTTGTTTTCTGCTTCCTTGGAGACTAGGACGCGGAACAATGGCTTCAAACTACAAGAGAGGAGATTCCACCTGAACAAGAGGAAGAACTTCCTGACTGTGAGAGCCGTTCAGCAGTGAACTCTCTGCCCTGGAGTGTGGTGGAGGCTCCTTCTTTGGAAGCTTTTAAACAGAGGCTGGATGGCCATCTGTCAGGGGTGATTTGAATGCAATATTCCTGCTTCTTGGCAGGGGGTTGGACTGGATGGCCCATGAGGTCTCTTCCAAATCTTTGATTCTATGATTCTATGATTCTATGATTCTGCTCTTTTTTGCTGCATTGACCAGAACGCGTTCACGCACCACTGCTTGGGCATTTCTAGAATCATAGAATCTAGAATCCTAGAGTTGGAAGAGACCTCATGGGCCATCCAGTCCAACCCCTGCCAAGAAGCAGGAAAATCGCATTCAAAGCGCACCCCTTGACAGATGGCCATCCAGCCTCTGTTTAAAAGCTTCCAAAGAAGGAGCCTCCACCACACTCCGGGGAAGAGAGTTCCACTGCTGAACGGCTCTCACAGTCAGGAAGTTCTTCCTCATGTTCAGATGGAATCTCCTTTCTTGTAGTTTGAAGCCATTGTTCTGCGTCCTAGTCTCCAGGGCAGCAGAAAACAAGCTTGCTCTCTCCTCCCTATGACTTCATCTCACATATTTATACATGGCTATCATGTCTCCTCTCAGCCTTCTCTTCTTCAAGCTAAACATGCCCAGCTCTTTAAACCACTCCTTATAGGGCGTGTTCTCCAGATCCTTGATCATTTAAGTCACCCTCCTCTGGACACATTCCAGCTTGTCAACATCTCCTTTCAATTGTGGTGCCCAGTATTCCAGATGTGGTCTAACCAAGGCAGAATAGAGAGGTAGCATGACTTTCCTGGATCTAGACACTAGACTCCTATTGATGCCCCTGGTTCCCTTCACACCCTCTCCCACATGACCCAGGCCCTGCCATTGAACGCTCAGCAAATGTGAGGCATGTTTTTGGAGGAGAAATGGGGGGAAACTGGACGTCCCTTTGGTGGGCGACACATCATTGCACAGGCCATCTCTTCAATGGAAATCGTAGCTCGGAAGGAAGGTGCGCGTGTGAATCAGACCCCAGGAAGTCATAGACGAAAGCAAGCCTTGGAAGATGGTTCGGAGAGTCCAGGTGACTTATTGCCTGCTAGGTCACATCACACACAGGCGTTCCCGCGACCCAGTGCCAACTTTTGTAGGTTCACCTATGCCACCTCGCTGTTTCCTTCTTTGGCCGGACTCTTATCCGCTGGGCTTAACTTATTGATGGGAAAGGTATGGCGAGGTTTACATTGGCATTCGGAGGGTCTGGATAGGGCGCCAGAGCTGCAACCCGGCAGGTGCGCGCGCAGCCCCCCCTCCCCTCGCGGCCCCAGTTTGTCAATGAGCGCGGCCCCGCCCTCAGCCTCGCGCTGATTGCTCCGCCGCCGGCTAATCAGGGGCCGCCTCCCCCCTCCCCTCTTTCCCTCTCCGCCTCGCGCCTCACGCCTCGCGCCCTGCAGCCAATGCGCGCCGGGCCGCTAACTTTACTTTTCTGATTGGCCACCTGATTGGGTTTGAGTGACGGGAGGAAAGCAGCGGCGGCGAAGTAGACGTTCCCTCCCCCCTCCGGCTTCCTCCTCAATCCCTCCTAAGGCTCGAGCCCCCCTCCTTCCTTCCCTCCCTTTCCTCCTTTCCTCCGCTGTCCACTCCAAGCGGGGTCCTGAAAAGCTGAAAAGCTGCTTTTCCCGGAAGAGGAGGGAGAAAAAAGACGAGAACTAGATGCAGGCATGCATGCATGCGCGCGCGCCGCTCTCCTCCCTTTCCCTGTGAGGGGGGTGCGCGCGCACCCGTGAGAGGGGAGGCTTTGCTTTACACACACATAGAGTTAGAATCTCACGCACGCGCCTTCTCTCTCTTTCTCTCTCAGACACACACATATAGCACAAGCTGAATTGTTTCCTTTCTCTTCTCTTTTCCTTCTGCGGTCTGCAAACTTTCCCGGCGCGCGGAGGAAGGAAGGAAAGAGCGCGTGGCGGGTGCGAGAGAAGGGAGGGGGGAGAGTTGGAGGAGCGTGGCGCGCGCCGCGAGCAAAACACGCCTCTCCCGCCCGCCTCCGCTTTCTCTCTCTCTCCCTCTCTCCCCATCTCTCTCTTGTGCGCGCGGCGGGGGGAATGCCGCTGGCAGGCTCCTACTGCCGCCGCCGCTGCCTCTTCCTCTTCTTCCTCTTCCTCCTCTTCTTCCTCCTCCTCGCTGGCGCCTCTCCAAGCGCAACTTCCCGCCAACTTCTTCTTCTTCTTCCTCCCGAGGCTCGGCTCTGAAGGCGACCCAGGGAAGGGCACCAACGGAGGGCCACCTTTCCTCCCTTCTCCTCTGCGTCTCTCTCGCTCTCTCTCGCACGCGCCAGGACTTGGGACTCTCCTCGAGGAGCTGAGGAAGGGAGAAAGAAGAGGAAGGGGAAAAAGGGATCCGCGGAGACAGACAAAAGGAAAGAAGAAGGCAACGCGAAGATGATGCGCCTGGGAAAGTAGCGCTGTGGAATACCTCGGACCGGCCTCTTCTTCCTTCTCCATGGCCTTTGCTAAGCGTGAACTAAGCTGAGAAAGCGACCCCAGACCCCGCCGAGGAGGAGGAGGAGGAGGAGGAGGAAGAGGACCCTTTTGCCCTCCCTTCCTCGGAGGATCTCTCTTTCCGCGCCTCTCTTTTCGCCGCCGGCTTGGAGAAGGAGCTCCCGCTCCTCTTTGCAAATCGCCCCGGGGGTTTGTTTATTGCTCTTCTTCTTTCTTCGCCTCTGGACCCGCAAGGACGCGTTTGAGGCTGTGGGAGGCCGGTCTTGAAGCCGGGTCTCGAGCGGCCGCCCAGATGGAAATACACTGTAAGCACGACCCCTTCGCCGCGATGCATAGTAAGTAGAGGCGGCGGGGCCGGCCGGGGCTTCTTTGCAACCCTTCGCACCCCTTTCGTGGGCAAGGAAGGAAGAAGGGAGGGAAAGGAGAGGAGGGTCCTTCTCTAGCGAAATCTGTGGTCCCTTCCACACAGATGAATAAAATCCCAATTTTGTGAAGTTCAGCGTTGAACAGTCTATCAGACTGGAAGCTAAAACTCTCCTTCCACACAGCTGAATAAAACCCCACATTTTCTGCTTTGAACTGGGATATATGGCAGTGTGGACTCAAATAACCCAATTTGCCTTGATCTTCTGAGTTATACTGCTGTGTGGAAGGGTCCTGTAAAGCGTCAACCTTCCTAAAACCCAGCCGAAGGAAACCTGGAGTGGAGAGACTTCACTTCCACTCTCTTGTGTGCCTATTTCATAGTAGCATCGCTACCACTATATAGTATAGAAGTAAAATTGTTCAAAAGGAAGTAGCCCTTCAATACAGCCCTATATCCCAGAAGATCAAGGCAGGAAAGCCAACATTGTCTGACTGTGAACTCAGACAACCCAGGGCCCTTCCACACAGCCCTATATCCCAGAAGATCAAGGCAGAAAAATCCCACATTATCTGCTTTGAACTGCTTTGGCAGTGTGGACTCAGATATCCCAGTTCAAAGCAGGTATTGTGAAATTTTCTGCCTTGATGTTCTGGATTATATGGCTGTGTGGAAGGGCCCTATGAATGTTCTCAGAAGCCAAGACTTGAGTTTAAAAAGTATAGATATATTTCTCCTTGGGAAATAAACCAAACACGGATGGAGATAGATAGATAGATAGGAACCCAAAGTGGACACACACAGGAAATCGAGAGATGTATTGTCGAAGCCAGGACTTGAGTTTTAAAAGTATATATATATTTCTCCTTTGTTTATATTTCTCCTTGGGAAATAAACCAAACAGGGATGGAGATAGATAGGTAGACAAACTCAAGTCCTGGCTTCCGTTCCCTCCTCCAAGTGCTCCCTGCCTTGGGAAATAAACCAAACAGGGATATATAGTACCCCTCAACCTTTGAGGATGCCTGCCATAGATGTGGGCGAAACGTCAGGAGAGAATGCTTCTGGAATATGGCCAAACAGCCCGGAAAACTCACAGCAAACCAGGGATCTCTCTCTCTCTCTCTCTCTCTCCGTTTGGTTTATTTCCCAAGGAGATCCACTTTCGCACAGGCAAATCTTCAGGAGCTCTTCCTCTTATAATACACACACTTTTATTCTCTTCATTCATTCCTGTCTTTAACATCCATGCCTTTCCCCCCCATCCGTACGCCTTCTTCTTCCTGCCGCGACGCCCCTCTCTTTCCTTCTCGGCGTTTCCAAAGTTCTGCTTGTCCCTATTTGACTTTTTATCCGCAATAGAGTTGGTGCTGGTGCCCTCAGAGACCAAGGGCCCTTCCACACAGCCATATAACAGAGAATATCAAGTCAGGAAATCTCACAATATCTGCTTTGAACTGGGTGATAGGAGTCCACGCTGCAGTTCAAAGCAGAAAATGTGGGATTTTATTTAGCTTGGCCTATGAGGACCAAGAAATACAACCAAGACCCCTTAGATTAGAAAACAAACAGTATGATTAAGTACTGAGTCCCTTCGAGAAGAGAGGGTGGGTTATAAATAAAGTATTTTTATTACTAATATTACAATTATTACAAATATTACAATTATTAATAAAAGTATTATTACTAATATTACAATTATTACTAATATTATTATTATTACTAATATTACAATTATTAATAAAGTATTACTATTATTACTAATATTACTAATATTACTATTATTAATAAAGTATTACTATTATTACTAATATTACAATTATTATTATTATTATTACTACTTTGGGGTGATTCCCTATGAGAAATGCAAAACTTGTGGTTTTTTTTTAAATATTGTCTTCCCTCCAGTGATGTTTCAGAAAAAATAGTGGCCTTCCATTTAGAAAATAAATAAAACCTCCCTGTTCATTTCCGCCTCTAAATAATAATTAAAGTGAGGCCAATGTGTTTCAATCTCAGGAGGCTGCATAAGAGAAAGAGAAGGCCCTTCCACACAGCCCTATATCCCAGAATATCAAGGCAGAAAATCCCATAATATATACTTTGAACTGGTTTATCTGAGGGCCCTTCCACACAGCACTATACCCCAAAATATCAAGGTAGAAAATCCCACATTATCTGAGTATGGACTCGGGGCCCTTCCATACAGCACTATATCCCAGAATATTAAGGCAGAAAATCCCACAGTATATACTTTGAATTGGTTTATCTGAGGGTCCTTCCACACAGCCCTATATCCCAGTATATCAAGGCAGAAAGTCCCATAAAATATACTTTGAACTGGTTTATCTGAGGGTCCTTCCACACAGCCCTATATCCCAGAATATCAAGGCAGAAAATCCCACAATATATACTTTGAACTGGTTTATCTGAGGGCCCTTCCACACAACCTTATATCAAGGTAGAAAATCCCTGTGTTGACTCAGATAACCCAATTCAAAGCAGATATTGTGGGATTTTCTGTGTGGAAGGGCCCTAAATCCACACTCAGCTAATGTGGGGTTTCCTGCCTTGATATTCTGTGATATAGTGCTGTGTGGAAGGACCCAAAGAGAGAGAGAGAGAAAGAGGAGCTTGCATGGCTTGCATGTTGCCGGCACTTGGCTCTCTTTAACTTAACCAAGCCGGGTCTAATATGTGTTTGCTGGAGATTGGCTGTGCTTGAGAGGGCCGGAGGAGATTTCTCCATTAGCACAATGTTATGTGAAATGACATCTCCTCTCACGGCGAGTTAAACGCCGGATTAGATGCAGAGATTTCAAGGAAAAGATCGGGTAGAACTAATCGCATTTCCCCTTCTTCTGCGCGGCAGCCTTTTCAGCCAGGGCGGATTTTCTCCTCCAAATAGTGACTCATCGCGCCTCTCTCGGTCTCTTTTCTGCCTGCCTGTCCATCTAGCTGACCATTCACTCCCTTCTCCTCTTCAAAATGATCTCCAGAAAGCATGCCAAGAGAGAGAAAAAACGGGCGGGATGTCAACCTTCGCCGTTTCAAATTGGCCGGAAATGAGGAGCGAAACCCTTGTGTGTGTATTTGTGAGTGAGAGAGAGGAATAGGTTCACATTCAGGATGGCTTGCAAGTCCACACTGGCCATTCAGAGCTGAAGCAGGCTTTACCATGATGACAATCCATAGGATCTTTCTCTCTTTCTCTCCGCCTTTGACTCCTGGAGTCTCCTTTGTGCTAATCTGAAGGGAGACCCATGTGTGTGGAAGCTGCCAAGGGACGACCAGGGGCTTCCTCCATTAACCCAAATAATGATAAATCAATACCTTCTCCAGGAATTTCAGACCAGGGCAAACACCCCCTCCCCCACCGCCTGGAAAGCATCCCAGTGCTTTCAGGATCATGCACATGAAAGCAGTCACTTTGTGGGTCTTGTTTTCCCAAAGTAGGAAGCTTTCCTGCCTCTTTTTCCTGTCCATTCAGAGCAATATTTTCCCTCCTCCGACCCTTTTGTTTTGCATCAGCTTGACCAACTGACCTCTTCTATTAATTGAATCCTGGCTCCATAACATTCCTGGAAAAGTAGCCATAAGCTTCACATCCAATGTTACTTATATTTTATATCCTTTGGGGAGAAGGGCGGAATATAAATAAAGTGTATTATTATTGGGTTGTATGGCCATGTTCCAGAAGCATTCTCTCCTGACGTTTCGCCTACATCCATGGCAGGCACCCTCACAGCCTCTTAGGATGCCTGCGAAACGTCAGGAGAGAATGCTTCTGGAACATGGCCATACAGCCCGGGAAAAATCACAACAAACCAGCGATTCCGGCCATGAAAGCTTTAGACAATACATTGTTGGGTTGTTGTAGGTTTTTTCGGGCTATATGGCCATGTTCTAGAGGCATTTTCTCCTGACCTTCCGCCTGCATCTATGGCAAGCATCCTCAGAGGTAGTGAGGATGCCTGCCATGGATGTAGGCGAAACGTCAGAAGAGAATGCTTCTGGAACATGGCCATACAGCCCGGAAAACTCACAACAACCCAGTGATTCCGGCCATGAAAGCCTTCGACAATACATTATTATTATTATTATTATTATTATTATTATTATTATTATTATTATTATTTGAAACACAGCAAGATGAGTCCACAGCAGACAAGATCACTCTGCTGGCTGTTGTATTGGATCACACGTCGGACACTTCCCAAGTGTCTAGGACTGTGTGATGTATCCGCGAATAATGTGTGCAGATCCCAGTAGGGTGGCCTTCTGCAACTGGCAGATGGTAATTTTGTCAGCGCCGATTGTGTTTAAGTCCAGATCAAGGTCTTTAGGCACTGCACCCTGTGTGCTCATCACCACTGGCACCACCTTGACTGGCTTGTGCCAGAGTCTTTGCAGTTCGATCTTTATAATAATAATAATAATAATAATAATAATAATAATAATAATAATAATAATAAATTATTATTATAATTATAAATTATTATTATTATTATTATTGTATTCTATACCCTTAATTTATTTCATGGGGATCTGTTGTTTTTTAATTCATTCTTTATCAAGGCGATACTTTTGAGCTGGAGTGAGGTTGGATCTACACTGTCAAAAAATGCACTTATATTGTCCATTATATGCAGTTTGCACTATGCACTTACGCTGACTATATAATGCAGGTCCAACTGCATTATTTGGCAGCCTGGATCCAGCCTGAAAGAAGGCAAACCAAGGTAGAAGGAAAGGCTCCAGGCTTCTTGCTTACTTTCTGTTTGGGATGGGTTGTTGTGAATTTTCCAGGCTGCATTGCCATGTTCCAGAAGCATTCTCTCATGACGTTTCGCCTGCATCTATGGCAGGCATCCTCACAACCTCTGAGAATGCGTGTCATAGATGTGGGCGAAACGTCAGGAGAGAATGCTTCTGGAGCTTGGCCATACAACCTAGAAAACAAACCAGCGA